ATTGTAGGATTATTAAGCGCTTCACTTTGTGCTTCAGGTTCTTTATGTCATGCGTAACCCAAAAGACGTGTTCACATCCTCATATCACTATTACGGAATGGCCTCATACCTGGTGAACCCAGGAACCCCAGACGAGTTCATGGAGAAGTTCCTCGATGGAAAAAGTATGGATTTCAGCTCTCTTTTACATTTTACTAGAGCAAATGTAAGCCAAAGTACAAAAGCGAGGCGTGCAACATTATCTGTTCTCATGCATAGTTGTTACCAATCCAGATATCAGATGGAATATGTAACTTTTTTGCGAGATTACTGTACATATCACAAATGTGACCCTGGAGCACAAAACCAAGTTGTTAAGTCGTTTGGGTATATTTGTAGCAATAGCCGATAAAAATGTCAACAATTCTGTGTTTTTCTGTCAATATGGGGTGCTGTGTGTACATTAATGAGGAAAAAAAATTTACTTAAATGATTTTAGCAAATGGCTGCAATATAACAAAGAGTGAAAAATTTAAGGGGGTCTGAATACTTTCCGTACCCACTGTATATCAAAACATAATGTTTGATTAGTAATATGCATTGCTAAGAACTTCATTTGGACAACTTTAAAAGTGATTTTCTCAATATTTAGATTTTTTTGCACGCTCAGATTCCAGATTTTCAACTAGTTGTATCTCGGCCAAATATCGTCCTATCCTAACAAACCATACATCAATGGAAAGCTTATTTATTCAGATGCTGTATAAATCTCAATTTAAAAAAATTGACCCTGACAACTGGTTTTGTGCTCCAGGGTCACAAATGTCTTTGCTCTGTAAAGGAATGATTTGAGTGTTTAAGCATGATGTCTTTTATCCACAGTCATGTTCGGATCCTGGTTTGATCATGTGAAAAGCTGGATTAATGCTGAAGAAAAGGAATCTATGCTGTATATTTTCTATGAGGAGATGATCACTGTAAGCAGGACTGAACATGCTTCAGTTCATTACTTTATTTGACCTGCAACAGAGTTCATAGCTTTCTATAACCTTGCAATAACAGTGAATAATGTAGGTAAACTAGCTGGACTTGCTCATGAACGAGACAGTTGTGCTTCCACCCTTTCATCCTGAAGTTTCCCTTGTACTGTATAAGAAATAAGAAAATCTGCATCCCCCATACACATGTTTTTTTTTCCATAGTTAATTTTGGTAACACTTTACTTAAAGCCTTTATATATAATGCATTATAAAGGGTTATGATGCATTTTAACTATTCATAATTTGCGTTGTAATACATTTTATCTTGTCGTAAATAATTATAACCAAATTTAAAATGCATAGTGTAACAATGAATTGATAAGTGTTATAATCCATTATTCATGAGATTGTACAATGCGTTATAAGGTGCATAATTAATGCATTAAAACTACTTTTATAATGCATTATACATAAAGGCTTTAATGCCATTTTTATGGTTGCATTATTTTATTATCGCACTTAGGCATGAAATAGTGTGTAAATTTGTACTTTCCAAGATATTTAATCTCAATTAAGTAAATCTCAATCAACTACAGTGCAAAATATAACATGTTATGAATTATTAACACGTTTTATTTGTTTCTTTGTCTTTCATTCTGTCGTTAGTTTCTCACCACAAATGATAGACTTTCTGTTCATCCACAAAACCAAAGCTTATAGTTCTGAGATGCAACATTTGTCTTTGACCTTGAGGAAAAATCTGTATTTTCTTCCGGCATTTGTATACGTTAAGCTTTTGCATTTCATGTTGAGCTAGTGTAGTAAAATATTGAAATCCTTGCAAAGTGCTTCTCAGCTCCTAACATGTGATCATACCAATCTTTGCCAGGATCTGAAAGGATCTGTGGAGAAAATGGCCAAGTTTCTTGGTAAATCTCTGAGTCAAGATGTGATGGAGAAGATCGCTGACCACTGCGTCTTCAAGAACATGAAACAAAACAAAATGTCCAACTTTTCTCTGGTTCCAGAGGAATACATGGACCAGAAGAGATCTGAGTTCATGAGGAAAGGTAAACTAGACGATATGTGAGCCTGCAGCACAAAAGCAGTGTTAAGTCGCTGGGGGATATTTGTAGCAATAGCCAACAATACATTGTATGGGTCACAATTATACATTTTTCTTTTATGCCAAAAATCATTAGGATATTAAGTAAAGATCATGTTCCTTGAAGATATCTTGTACATTTCCTACCGTAAATATATCAAAACATAATGTTTGATTAGTAATATGCATTGCTAAGAACTTCATTTGAACAACTTTAAAGATGATTTTCTCAATATTCAGATTTTTTTTGCACCCTCAGATTCCAGATTTTCAAATAGTTGTATCTCAGCCAAATATTGTCCTATCCTAACAAACCATACATTAATAGAAAGCTTATTTATTCAGCTTTCAGATGTTGTATGCATCTTAATTTCGAAAAATTGACACTTGAGACTGGTTTTGTGGTCCGGGGTCACATATAATTATACAGTTAATGTAAACTGAAGCTTCCATGCCTTGCACCATAATAGTATTATAAAAGTAGTTTGTGTTACTGATTCACAAATGTCATATGGACTACTTTTATAACATAACATAGACCAAAATTGAAATCAGTCAACTTGAGGGTGTGAAATGAGCAAACAACGTTTACAGCATTGTCTACACTGTTGTTTAAGTGGAATATCAGTTGATTGTATCCAGATGTGCCAGATTCACTCAAGGTTACTCGTCTTGTTTTGCTCTGGCAGGAATTGCTGGTGACTGGAAGAATCTGCTCACCAACGCCCAAGAGCAGCGATTTAATGCTGCATACAAAGACAAGATGAAAGATGTGACATTCAAGTTCATGTGGGACTGAAAGAATAAACGTACTTGCTTTTAATAAGCACGTTAACCCTGCTATCACAGACAGTTTACCCGTTCTGTGTGTGATGTTTACATGTTATTTTATATAACTGTAACTTTATAGTTCATTTGCAAAAACCGATAACTCCGTTTCTTTTCTTTCCAGAAATCAAGTTTTTTAAAAATGGCACATTTCAAGTAATATCAATCAAACTGCAGTCGGGTTGTTTTGATTAAGTAATAATAACTTAATTAAACAAATACAGGTGATTTACAAAATTAAAGTTCATTGAAAGTATGTTTATTTTTTTTTACATATTAAAAGTTTGGTTTATAGCAAAAGCGTATAACTCAACATTTCATGTTTTAGAGTTTAAAAACCACTGGTTTAATCTGTGTAATCTCCTCAGATGACGGTGTCGATCGGCTATAATGTGGAGAGTAATGCACAGCAATCAGCTCTTTTTTTTTTTAAAGTGGCGTTTATCGGTTTTTTGCAAATGAACTCTTCATATAGGCCTATATATCACTGTTTTTAACAAAATAATGTTGAAAAAATGTTTATGCACTATAAGTACCACTGCAATACAGAGGAGTAATTACTACCTTATATAATAATCAATTATAATATATAATAATATAATAATCAATTTGATTATATTCATATATCATTTAAATTCATTTTTAAGCTTTTGTTGCATGCATTTTTATTTGTAAGTCTAATAAATGCATAGTTTATACACAGTGTTGTTAATTTACTCTAAAAAAAGTAATTATTACTAGCTACTAATTATATCTTCAACAGTGTAATTAGTAGCCTACTAATTACTCTCTCTAGGTATTGCATTACTTATTGCTAACTACATTCTAAATGCTATATCAACCTGGACCAGTTGAGCAATACAAGAATGGGTATGAAACTTCTCTTTTAATTCGTTAAAATAAATAATATATAATTACATCAATTATTCTTGAACTGACTCAAGTATTTAAAGTATTATTTTAACATTAGATGTTAAATCCACTATTGCTTGATGTAGTATTGTTCTATAGTCTATATTCAATGCCATTACATCAGACGTAACTGTAACTGTAGTTAAATTACAATTAACTTGCGTTATTTTTTTCAAGGGAAAAGCAATTAAATCAGAGTAATTAATTACTTAGTAATGCATTGCACCCAACGCTGTTTATACATATATGGGACATGTATTATCAGCTTTCATATGTGTGACCCTGCAGCACAAAAGCAGTGTTAAGTCGCTGGGGGATATTTGTAGCAATAGCCAACAATACATTGTATGGGTCAAAATTATACATTTCTCTTTTATGCCAAAAATCATTAGGATATTAAGTAAAGATCATGTTCCATGAAGATAGTTTGTAAATTTCCTACCGTAAATATATCAAAACTTCATTTTTGATTTGTAAAATGCATTGCTAAGAACTTCATTTGGACAACTTTAAAGATGATTTTCTCAATATTTTTTGATTTTTTTGCACCCTCAGATTCCAGATTTTCAAATAGTTGCATCTCGGCCGAATATTGTCCTATCCTAACAAACCACACAGCAATGGAAATCTTATTTATACACCTTTCGGATGATGTATAAATCTCAATTTCGAAAAATTGACACTTTTTTTTTTAATGTTTTTTTTTAATTATTATTATTATTTTTTTTTATTATTGATTTCCAGCATATAATATAAAGGTACTGAACAAATACGAACTACAAAAAATACAGTATTATATAAATAATAATACAGGTACAAATAAATAAATAAATAAAAATAATAATGAAAAAAAAATAAGCAGAAATAAGAACAGGTATGAGATCATCATATAAACAACAGAAAAGCTTCAGGAAGAGACCTAGTGCGTTTTGCTTTACTGTTTTCCAACCCAAGTAGTAACTCAATATAATTGTTCATATCTATCTGAAATAACAAAAAGTTGGGTTTTCCTTTAGCCCATTTCTGTTTATGTAATTGACACTTAATGTGACACGTGGCACATTTTTGACAAGCTAGTAAATGTAAACAGGAGCGATACTTCTCCACAACACCAGAGGGCGGTGGCGCTCCACTAACGCGAAACTACACCGGCGCGGAACCAAAGAAGAAGCAGCCTACGGCGTCAGGCTCATTCACGTGTTTGCGATAATATACGACAAGAAAACAGACTGTAGCCACTATTTTGCGTTATTAAATATTTTATACATAATTTAAGATAAAACGGGCGCGGTGTTTCTTAAGGTAACGTTACCTATTTTAGCTGCAAAAGCAATTTTTGAAGCAACTTAACTACATTTTAGAAAGCTGCACCTTTAAGGAGTACTAATTACTATTATTTCCATGCACTTTCCCCTCTGACAGAAATGTAAAAGCCACAGTTCAATGAGTTAATTGACATTGAATCCGGTTCTGAACCATGCTATTAGAGATTCAGATCAACATCACTTGAAGAAGTTTCTGATTTTGTTTATGAATCAAATGATAAATCCTCATTGGATTCGTTTTTAAATCAGAGATGGCAGGTAGCTTTTCTGATGCAACTGCAAAACACCTGAACTGTTTTTGTTTAAACTCTCAGTGCATTTTATACTTGGAGAATATCTTGTTTTAAATGAGAAGAGAAAGATCAGAAGATGATGGCAAGTAAACGGGGAATGAGCAGCGGCCCTCAGAGACCGCAAGGGCCCCTGGTGAGGTCAAGGGCCCCGGATGAAGCACTGCCCTCGACATCAGGAACAGACCAAAGTATTGTGCATTTCTTTTCTATTTGGTGGCCTTTACAGCTCAGTTTACATACAGGTTATATAGCACTTACTCTAGTTTGTGGCAGGAAAACATTCATTTAAGAAATATTTAAAAATAATGATCATTTTGTGTGCCGGAATATGCATTGAAAAGAAATAATTTTTTTTAACAGTTTTGCCATTTACAATTCAATGTTGTTTATCAGGCCCCTCATTGCAAACACTGAAAGAGGAGGTTGTCAACGTAATACAGAGCTTTCCGGAAGGAATCGAAGTGTCCAGGTTAATCTTTATGTACAGGAGGGTCTACGGCAAGAGGTTTGGACCTTTAAGCAGTTTTGGTTTGGAAGGCCTTCAGGAGCTTTTTGAAGAGCTCGGTGACCAAGTGCGTGTGGAAAGGATTTACAATAAAAACATAATCAAATCTGTAAACCCTGTTCGCGGGACTCCACAGCTTCCCATGTTTCGAGGTATGAACTGAAAGCATTGCTTTAATTTCCTTGATTGTTTATATGAGGCTGACACTATCTGGACTGGTGAACTAAACATTGACCCCCGTGGGACTGTTCATGAACCAAAACCATGCAACACAAGATAAGGAGGATACGTTTATAGTAACAGTTATTATTTTCAGTGAGTATTTAATGAAAAAGCTCTCCCAAAAATGTACATTTGTTGAAAATAGAACTATTGGCAGCAGTTCCCGCTTTTTGGCGTGTTTGCAGCACAGGATCTAGCAACGGATGTAATGGATGCGCTGCAGTGAATGGGTGCCGTCAGAATGAGTGTCCAAACAGCTGATAAAAACATCACAATAATCCACACCACTCCAGTCCATCAGTTAATGTCTTGAGAAGCCAAAAGCTGCGTGTTTGTAAGAAACAAATCCATATTTAAGACGTTTTTAACTCAAATGAGTCCATAATAACGCTTGCTCCAGTGAAAAGGTCGTCTGGTCTGACTCAGGAGAGAAATCTGCTCCGATCAAGCACCGTTTACAAGCCAAAACAGTCCAAGACAGCTCTCAACAAATATTTGGGTGGATTTTGATGTGCGAGGACAACAAGGGATAGACTTTTTCACTGGAGGAAGCACTATTATGAAAGCGTTAAAGGGGTCATATGATGCTGCTTAAAAGAACATTATTTGGTGTAATGAAATGTGTTTATGCGGTTTAAGGTTAAAAGAACACATTATTTTCCACATACTGTACATTATTGTTTCTCCTCTATGCCCCGCCTTTCTGAAACGCGTCGATTTTTACAAAACTCATCGGTCTGAAAAGCGAGGTGTGCTCTGATTGGCCAGCTATCCAGTGTGTTGTGATTGGCCGAATACCTCAAGCGTGTGACGGAAATGTTACGCCCCTCACCATACTGTGATGCGCTGTCCGGCCGGAGCGATGATTCAAAAACATGAAAGCCCATTATAAACGAGGTATTCGTTGCATCCAGTGGGGACATAATTACGGATTATAATGACTTATACTGTCTTTTTACACGTTGCGTTGCATCGCGCCGCGTAAACATAAAACCATGTCTGCATTTGTGATCGGAGAAACGACAAACAACAAGCGCTACTCTACACTGCTGAAAACTCGTGTTTGAATCATCAGTGACAAATCCTTTAAATATGAAATCGTACTTACAATCTGTGAGTCAGAACAGCCGGCATTGTAGTCTACTCTCCCAGGATCAGGAAACAGTCCTCCATAAAATGTGCTGCACACATCTGAATATTTGGGTTGAACTGTTCTGAAACAGTGTTGTAAATACAACTTAACCACTGATTTCTAGTCTTGTCCTCTTTTGGAAGACCCCAAAAAAGTAGTTTCACTTTTGCAAAGAAACATAGCGTCACATACGGCGGGCTTGAGAACGTCGCGGCCGGCGGATTCGACGAAGGAGCGTTCGGTGGGCTTGCGGCAACCACATGTGACGACCCCGGGCTGGACTCTGCTTCGTCCACGCTGAAAGCCGATCCGGCGATCCACAGCGTGAAGTTGATGTATTCCCTCAGCGACCAGCACGGATCAGCTCTAGGCATGACGAAGCGGATATCGTCCTCTTTTGAAAGAACAAACAGTAGTTTCGCTTTCACAACGAAGCACACAGCGTCTTCACGACATGGCGGCGGCAACAATACTACAGCGAGAATAAAAGTTACGCCTTCTTTCTTTGCGTGAACATTTGGGCGGCGTTATGCAGATCTTCCCACATAGTGATGTAGACATGTGGGGGCGTGTTAGAACGAGGTGTTTTAGGTAGGCGTAGTTAACTCTTAACTTTTATAAAGAATATCCCTTTGGATTTGAGACTTTAGTCTTTGCAACTTTACAGATCTTCTTTATGCCCCAAGAGCTTGTAACACTCCAAAGAGAAAGGAACAATTGAAATGGCATCATATGACCCCTTTAATGGTGGATTTGTTTCTTACAACCACAAAGCTTTTTGCTTCACGAGACATTAACTGATGGACTGGAGTGGTGTGGATTACATGTGGATAATTGTGATGTTTTTATCAGCTGTGTGAACTCTCATTCGATTGGTGAGCAAATTATGTAATGCTACATTTCTCTAAATCTGATGAAGAAACAATGGCCTGAGGGTGATACCATTTTCAGCACATTTTAATTTATGGGTGAACTACTCCCTTTAAATATTTCTATTATCTAATTTTCTATCACTAAATGATGTGTTTATATAATAATATAACTCAATATATTGTATCAGCTTTTGTCATTGGCATCCCAAAAAACCCTGATTGAATGACCACTAACTGCAATCTGCATCTGTTAAACAACAAAAATAACCATTTAAAAAAATATGGCAAATCCATTTTGGAAGTGTTTTTATTTTCTCAACAGCTGCAAATTGAGTCTGATTAAGCATACAATGTTCTTACTAAGAATTTGCAGTTAGTTCATAGTTGATCAACAGTCTTTTGATTTTATTTTCCTTCTTATCCCTTTAATTGGCAAGCCAGTTAAGTATCATGTTTCGGGAAATGTAACCGCGGATGTTATCTCAGGCTCCAGCTGGAAACTGAACTGAACGCTGAGTCACATGACTTCTCTCAGAACACAGAGAGAATTAGATCAGCTGAGAGAGAGAGCGAGTGCATACAGGAAAACGAAACCTAAGCCTGTGGCTCATGCCATCCTCAATCATTCCACACAAACATTACATGCTCACTGTGTTGATATGAAGTCTTACAGCATTTTAAGCATTTCAAGCAGTCTCTGTTCAAACAGGTAGGATCTTCTTCAGACAGATAATGGTTGCTTTGCTTTCTAGACATGAGAGTAATACTGAAGGCATTTGCATGACTTTCAGTTTTGTTTCTCATGATGCAGTGCATATTTATGATGAAGGGAGAGACTAGTATAAAACGGCACACACTAAAGTAGTCATTCAGTTTGGACAGGCATTCACTGAGTACAAACACAGGGTAAGACCTATGCTATAAGTTAAATAATAATTTTCAAATGTTTGTCAGTCTGTTTATATTCCATTCTGTTTAGTGGGTTTCAAAAGGTTTATATTGTAGAACTTGGCTTTATTTGTTAACATTAGTTAACTACTAAAACATAACAAACGGCATTTATTAATCTTAATTTCAACATTTACGAATACATTTTTAAAACCGAACATTGTATGTTAACATTCTTAATAGACTGTAAACTAAAAGAAAATTGTATTTCTGTCAACTGACATCAACAAAGATTGATAAATGCTTGTTAGTTCACGTCATGTTAATGCATTATCTAATGTCAACATTTATCTAATGTGACCTTACGGTAAAGTATTAACAGTTGTATTTGGTCATAAACGATAAACTGTGTTACTGTGAGGTGCATTATTAAGTACTGAGAAATTATGCAATCTGTATGTAGTTATTTAGAGAATCCAGTTTTGAAAACGCATTGTTTTTCCTGATTAATTTATGATATGTATAACTTTGACTCTAATATACAATATATTAGGCATTAATTATCATCCCAAGCCATTCTTTGCTGTGTTTTAAAAATTGATTTTCATCACTTAAGGCAAAGTTTGATGTCTGATCATTTATCTTTTGGAGAGAAACAAAAAATGTATTTGATTTATGCTTTTTTTTATATCATTGCTGACTTTGTCTCTGAGGAATTTGATATTCTTAATTTTTTGAAGATAATTGCCAAATGATTATTTATTTAGGTCTAAACAAATTCTACTCTGAATAATGTTTGTACTGTTTTTACAGATGTAAAAATGGATGATGCTCCTAAGAACGCAATTCGTAAGAAAGTGATCAAATTATTTAAAAAGCATCCTCAAGGAATTCCTCTTAATAAATTAGCAGAGGTCTTTGCTCAGAAACACAAACAGGCCCTTTTGCCAGCTGAGCTGGGGTTCCCATCAATGGAAACCTTTGTGGACTCTCTTAGCGGGGATCTGTTGGTGGAAGATGGTGTGATCTTTCACAAAAGCAACATAGTTCTTACAGGTACTGATTTTACAGTGGGACTTCTAGATTCATTTTTTCCATTAATGTAACTAAGAAATAACTGTTTTGTAAAGGATTTCTCAAACGCAGCCCTGTAATAAAAACAGAAGTAGTGGATTCCTGTTTTAAAGGACATTACACAAGGAAACGGCATTTTTGAGAAACAGATTAAAAGTAGTCTAATGTTAACCCGAGTAGGATTGAAAGTAGTGAATCACTTGTTATACTGTCAGGAAAGCCTACTTCCAATTCACTTTTCATGTCACTTTTTCATACAGGTGAAGACTTTGAAAAGAGATGCAGAGATGTTGTGGATTTGGTAAAAAGCCACCAGGAAGGCATTCCTCTTTTAAAAATAGCAGTATTTTATAATAGCGAATATGGGAGGCCTCTGAGAAAGAAAGAACTTGGGTTCCCCTCAATAGCAGATTTCATTGACTCTCTCGACCAAGAGCTGTGTGTGGAAAATGGCCAAATTTTCTACAGGATTGCAAAGCCTGAAGCTTCGACCCATACAGGTAATGATTTGTTGCTTATGTTGCAATATAATAGTTCTGTCATTCACTCTCATGTGGTCCTCATATGTTATTTATGCTTTTCTCAGCACCACCCGTGCATGTTGATGGGGTTTTTAAAGACGTTGTGGAGCTGGTTAAGGACCATCCCTCAGGCCTTCCTCTTAGGAAGTTTTCTATGTTTTTCAATCAAAAGTATCGGCGTAACCTCGCTGTGTCAGAGTTTGGTTTCAAAACAGTCGCCTCCTTCATTGATTCTCTGAGCGATGAGCTATTGGTGGAGAAAGAGAGAATCTTCCACAAGAGTCACAGAGCAGCACCTGCAGTCCCAACACCTGCACACCTATCAAGAGTGAACAATGACTCGACACCTGCGAACACAACAAGCCCTGTAGTTACTTTTGGAGCTGGATTTGCTCAAAGAGGTAGTGAAATGACACAAGAGGAACTGATGGATAAAGTTAAAGAGGTTATAAAAAAGTATCCAGCTGCAAGCCAATCCATTATTGAATTGCAGAATGGCTTCTTCCTCCTCTTTGGGTCGGCACTTCCGTTAGATCTCTACATGTCATTGTATGATAATCATACAGCTAAACCACTTTCTTCCTCTTGTCTTGTAAAAAATAAACCAGCAGGAGCAAAGTGCATTGAAAGTAAGAGAATATACTTTTTTTAAATTTATTTATTTATTTTTTTAATTTAAAGTTAATACATTATTCCATGTTCTTAAATCTTAAAAAAAAAAAAAACCTTATCCACTTTATTCTTGTAGCAGCACAAAAGAAGATTGTTGAGGAAGTAAAGAAGGTTCAGCCCATGCCCGCTGTGGTAAATGAACAAGTGGTCCGGTCCAAGGCAGGATCCCCTTTGCTTCGGTTTCAAAGTTTAACCGTCCCGCCCATGGAAACCCCTAGTAATTTGTCCACTAGTGACTTCCCAGTTCTTGGTACTATGCTGTCCAAAGCTGGGGAGAAGAAGTTGAAGGAGGGAAGGGGGCCTCTCTTCAATGAGTCCTACTACAGCCAAGTGAGAGAGGTCCATGGTGCTAACATGAGGGCAGCAGAAGCCTTGCTGGAAGATGAAGACAACATTGGGAGACGGAGAAAGGCCATGAGCTCAAAGGATGTGAACTGTTTGGTAGAGGACGTCATGAGAGCCCTTGCAGCCGAAGGAGAGCTTGTCACCATCGAGAGGGTCTGTGTCTTGTAAAATAACAAACCAGAACAAGTTTTTGCTCATCACAATGTCAAAATATCTCAATTTTATTTTGTGTTATTATGAAGGTGGTCAGCAGAGTTTGTTCACTTCTACAAGTGTCCAACTTGTTGAAAGATATGAATATCGACGCTCGTCGGCATCTGCCTGCAGTGCAGGAACTTCAGCGCAGCATCAAGGAGATCAATATGTATATTGAGGTACATGGTCTCGAACAACCTCCTGGTGTAGGTTTATGATCTGATTGACAGGTTTGATATGGTGTCTTGACATCACAAACTTGTGTTTCTTTCTAAATCAGTCAGTGGAAGCAGTTTCCTCTATATGCACGCTTTACGAATTGGGACAGGCTTTGGCCAACCTGAAGAACAAGAAACGCTTTGAAGAACTCCATCTGGGCCCTCTATGCAAGATCCCTCTTATTCACCGAATGTTCAGAATAGATGCCAATACTAAAGATGATGATGTACATCAGATTGCGACAGTGGATATTCTTAGGGTGAGTCTGGTTGGGACTGGCTGCGTATTTGGGAGGAGTACATCCACTTTGACATGACTCACTCTCACTCATTGAATGTTATGGTTTTCTGCTTGTTTTAGAGTCTCCGAATGTTCAGGAGAAAAAGCAAGACGCCTAGAGTTGACCTTGCTGACTTCTTGAAGCACCTTGCAGACCAGTACAGCTGTGAGTCACCGTATGAACTTGGCATCAGAATCCAGAGTCTTGGGTTGCCTATTTCGGTAAGACCCCTCTTTCAGAAGAGTATGATTCAGTATTGAAGGTTCGGTCCTCAAAGCACTGAAAATACACCCTTAAACAGTTTCCCAAAACTCTGGAAGATGGAGATGCGACCAATGACCTTATTGGTTACCAATGGTCAAGGGTAGCCAACCCTGCTCCTGAAGGGCTACCATCCTACAAAGTTTAGCTCCAAATTTAATCAAGTACCTGAACCAGCTAATCAAGGTGGATTACTTGAACATTACAGGCAGGTGAGTTGGAGCAGGGTTATATCTGAAGTCTGCAGGAAGGTAGGCCTTCAGGAACAGAATTGGCTCCCCCTGCACTAGGGAAAATCACACAACTCTGCTCCACACTCTTACCCCTTTTTCACTGACATGGTTCACGTTCCTGTGCCAATCCTGGCTCTCAGCCAGTTCTCCGCTGAGTGAACTGGGCCTTGGGATCGGGAGAGGTCCCCAAACCAGGACTCGAACTTGGGACGCCCGAAGCGCAGCGGCACTATATGTCAGTGCACTGCCCACGAGACGATAGGCGCCAGTTTGCTAGGTTGTCCGATTGAAACCTGCATTAGACATTACTTTGCATATTACTTTTTTCCTTTTGTGAGCTCTCTAAACAGTGCACGTTTCCTCCAACTGACATTTTGCATGTTTTTACGATGTTCTCCCTAGAGATTTTAGCACAACAATTAGGAAATCACAAATTATTCACAAATGTGCTGCTTTTCTCTGCCCCTTCCCCCTACATCACTAGTTCTGGGGTTCCAGTCCATCAAATTTTTAGGGCTGAAGTTAAACCGATCTTTCCGGCCCAGAACTTTCTTTTCTGCAGTGGAAATAGACACTGGCCAGGAACCAGAACCATGTATGTGGAAAAGGGGTACCGAACCGTGATGAGCAAAGTGATACAAACCATAAAAAGCTCAAGTGCTGTTGAATTAAATGCCATGGAATGAGCAACCAATCAATTTTGAGGACCAGAACTAACTGCTTTATAATTCCATGCATGCTAAATCCAGCAACCATATTAAACATACTTTACTGCATTGTTCTCTTGTTTTTCCACATATTGTGTTCTTAGACGTTGAATAAGGCATCTGCTGCTGAGTTTTGCCACATGGACAGAGCCAGAGAAGCCATTCAGAAGGAGATTCAGGAGGAGGTGGATGCCAAAATGTTTAAGATCAAGAAGAGCCTGCTGGATCCAGCCCAAGGACCTGTGATCTTCTCCCAGATTGGCAACTCTGAGCTGAGGAAAAAATATGTAAATATGACCGCCGCGGATGCAGTCATGGAAGTCTTCATCAATTCTGAAAGTGTCTTCAGTAAGAGTATGACAAAGGTAAGCAACTTAGAGGCAATGTCGGGAGGATCCTTATCTAGTCTGTTCAAAACAAGCTCACCCATTTTAACAGTTTGCAGACTGGTTTTTCTTGTGGTTTGATGTTTGATGTGTTTTAATTGCAATGGAAACGCCTACGTGACTGCTTTTCATGGGTGGCTACTTGCTTAGTATGATCAATAGTAATGTTTTTAGTTTTTTTTTTGAGTAGCAGTGCTTGATAAGGAAATCATCTCTTATTACTACTGATCATACTTTAGGGCTAGAAGTTTTTTCAAAACAGTGTTGTAGTACTTTAGACTAGACAAACCAAACTTTAGTCTGAGTTTCAGTAAAGACAGTACAAGTCTTAAGGTCTAACTGATTCATAGTGTAAATATGCTTTCCTTTGTGGTAATTAAAGACCGGTTTTGCATCAGTGTCATGTGAAACTTACGATACCACTGAGCAGAGTCTAAGTCAAGATGACTTGATGAAAAGACAACGAACATGAAAGTAGGTTTTGGGTTTGAACTCGAGATGGACTCGAGATTTAGTACTACAACACTGATGACTAACCTGGGCTGCGTTTCTCAAAAGCCTTGTAAGCCAAGTTGATCGTAGAGACCATTGGTGGCAATGGGTCTACAATCTACTTGGAGTTATGATGCTTTTGGGAAACGCAGCCCTGATTAGTAAACATGCAGGGGCAAAGCTACAAAAATTGCAACCACCCTAAGATATAGATTTGCATAGGCAAACACAAAGCCGTTTTGGTGCATTTAGTTTAGAAGAGCTTTTATGTCATGAGTGTGCTGATGATGCTAAATAACTTTCCCTTGCTGGACATGAGCATTTCTCTTTCTAAAACAAGGTTGGGTGCCCATTTATAATTATCCCTAATGAGATTTTTAAAGGGATAGTTCACCCCAAAAGAAAGTTCTTGTGGTGTCCACCAGAGTGTGTTTTACCATGTTGTTTTCAATTGGCGCTCGTCACCAGCTGTCCAATTACAGTAGAAGAAAAACGGGACAAATATCACACCAACCAACCGTCACTTGTAAAACTAATGAACTGCAATGGAGGAGAATTTAATATTGCTTGTTTCCAATTATTAATGGTCTGTACCAGATGAAATCCCGGACTACCACCAATATTGATATGAAAAAGAACCATTGCTTTCGCCATGCATCTGTCACATTACATCCGATATTCTTTTTCATAGCGATCTTATCATTCAGCTGGCTGAAAATGCTTTGGTGGAAACGCAACCTTGCTCTTTCTCATGTTGTTCTAAACCCATATTACATACATTTTACTTCATAACACAAAAGGAGAATTTTTCACTTGGTCTCTGCAATTACTGGAACTGGGACTAAAGCTTTCTGTAGCTTTCGAGCTTCAAAAAGTATATGAATGATGATAGGATTTATATTTTTGGGTGAACTGTTCCTTTAAATAGTGTCTCTCTTATTTCATTCGTTCTTGGTAATTGCAGTGGTAATTCCTTCTAGCTGTTTAAGGATGTAAACGGGTGGCAGATGAGAGTAGGAGAGGGATCATCCGCTCACTTTATTAATGAGATGTCATGGTCATCATCTGCTAATCCCACCCAGAAATGTGTCTCCCAATACTTGCATCATTAGTCCTTATGTTGCTCCTGCACTCACTGTTTTCACTGACCTTTCCTTCTTTATTCACTTTGAGGGATTAGCATGTGATTGGGTCATTTCTGGTGGTGCACGTCCATGAATATGATCATGCCACTTCTGCTCTGGTTTGATGAATTGAATCCGACTGAGAATATTGAATGAATGTTCATAATGTATTCGTTTTCAACAGTTCTTTCATAACTCTTCTGGAAGCAACTGATTGTGTTTTTTTTGTGCCCTCAGACTATTCAGACGTTCCTGTTATGTGTAAACAGAGACCGGCTCGCTAGAGCCTTATTCCAGCTTGCTATATGCTGTGGCTCCTTGGACGCCCCTCAGGACCTGGTAGCTAAAGAAAAACCACAGAAAAAAGCAGAGGCAAAGAAAACTACAGAAGAGAGAGCCACAGAGATGCTCCCTACTGAAGGTGTCAACTTTTTAACATCATTAGTTATCTGAATCTCCTCTTTTAGTTTTCGCACCATCCACAGTATGACCCCAAAAGGACAGTATGATGACATTTACAGACAAAAATCGCAAGTGATTTTTCTCATTTCTGGAAAGCCTATTAAAATATATAAATGAATACATTATAATGTATTAATTTATGTATTTGAATGTAATTTATGCATGGACTTTTACATAATTTGATAATTTATACATGCTCTAAAAAAATGATTTAAAAAAATATATATATTTAACATAGCTTTTAGTTAAGATAATAACTTTCCATGGACCTTTTGTTCTAAAACAGAATATTATTAAAAATATTTAAGAACAAAAGGTCCATAGAAAGTTATTTAAACTATAAGCAATGTTAGATATAAAATAAATTAAAGTAACATTATAAAATAATTAGATTTTTTAAAGAACAAAAACTACATATAGAAATAGTTTTAAGTAGAAAAAAAATTTAATATGAAACAATTCTAATCACAAATTACTATTATTAAATGTAATTTTTTTACAAAAAAAAAAAGGTTCGTAGAGAGATGATTTTAACCAGTAAAAGTGTTAAATGAATAAAAAGTTAAAATGATTAAAATGAGCGTTTTTTTGTTTTTGTTTTGATGAACAAAATGTCAATATAGAGATATTGATACTAGGGCTATCAATGTAACTTGCTCATTTTTTAATTTTGAATTTATAAAAAAAATTAAATGCAATTAAATTTTTAATGTATTTGTACGTTTTATTTTTTAAAATGTGTTAAATGAATGCATTTAATCTGTCACATGAATAGATTTTTTTTGTATGAATACACGAATAGAAATTTTTATAATATTACTTTTTGTAATAATGTAGGTTTTTTTGCCATCTTTAGTGGGGGGCTTTTTTTAGCAGTTTTTGTTGATATATATGATTTAATTGCAGTTAATGTGATGAATTAATCAGCATATTCTAAAAAATATTACAATAATATTTTAGTCAATTGATAGTCAATTAAAAGTTGTCACACGCTTTGAATTTTATTGTGATAAGTTGCTTGCAGTTGCTTTGTTCTTGATGTAAATCTGTCTTTTTTCCATGTTCAAATTTCCACACTTAAACCCATATACATTATTGCCTGTTGTGGAAAATTTCATCTCTGAGCTGTTCTCATGTGGTGATTTTTTTTGCGTAGCTGACGTGAAGAGCTTTTTTCAAGAGTGTGTCACTAATTTCAAGAGCACACCTACTCTGGCCCACCTTCGCACTCTGGAAAAGAGGATCGCAGAGAAATTCAAGTTTAAAGACTTCAGCCAGCTGCAGCAAGGAACCTTCCTTGATTTCATTTTCAACAACAAAAAGGTGTGCATTTCTACTTGTGTGAGGTTTCTCATGGCGCGTGTCTGTCATAGCGTAACTGGTCTTGGTCTTGGCGCAGGTCCTGCAGGAGGCAGCAGGGGGCGCCGTCTCCATCGACAGCCAGGATCCTGGAATGAATGGCTTCAGACCTTGCAGACAAGATGTGTTTGAGTTCATCAATCAGTGCGGGGAGGGAGATGACAGCAGAGTGAGTTTTGAGTTTTTTTGTCATGTAAACGTCAGAATAACTGCAGTAATATTTCCAGATGAACACTTACTGCACTGAAGCAGCTCAGCTTTACTTGATTCTCCATCAATCATGTTTTAGAGTCTCAAATCTGATCCTCAGGATCTTTTGAGGAGCGTTTGTTTCCAGAAGCTTTACTTTCACTGTTCCTCAGCGGAGGAATGATCTTCACAAGCCTCCAGAACATCTCACGTCTTCAGTTCATCTCGCAATCATCATTGGATTGCATTGCATTATATGTTTGGATCGTTTCAATTTAAAAACATATTAATGGAGATATATAGAGTACTGACTGATTTATATTATTTTAAGTACCTGCTATTCTGTTATGAAGATCTCATTGATTCACAAGCATCAGAATTTCATCATATAAATATAAGCATCTTCACCAAATTGCATATTTTTGCTCATTTTGAATAAAGTTGAGCTGTTTTTCCTCCTCATTCTCAGTAAATCAGACTATATGAGCCAAACAAATCATCAAACACAAATGCAAACTTTAATTTTTTTTTTTTTTTTTTGAAGATTTTGTGTAAAGGTTCAATAAACTGTTCTATCTAAAGAAAAATGGATTGTGATTTCATATGTCAGGCTTTACAGGGTTAAACGGGATAATTACAGCAAAAGTACAGTTACTGTTCATATGGGAATGAAACATGTCTGTTTTTGTTCTGGATCAGCTGCCGTTCATCGAAGCCGCTCTGAGGAATCATTACCAGATCAGGGATAGCCGAGAGCTCGGTCACGGGCCCCTCAGTTTTCTTGTCAATTGCACGCAGAAGCAAAAGGGACTAAGCGGAGACGCTGTCACTAGTGTGGTACGCTACGAGTGTCCTCTGCTGCCCATGGGTTCAGGGTAAGACAGTTCAAGTCTCTACTTTTCATCAAGTACTCAGCTGTCTCTCTGCACAACTCTGTGAGCTGTAAATAGACAGCTGTAAAACTAGTTCAGAGCAAAGCCCGGTTTCCAGGGTTTAGTTGGGGATTTTAAAGCCATCTGAATCCAGCATGTTGGTGTTTTTCTCCCACCCCCAGCCAAATTACCTACTGTCATGTGCCCAAATCCACACTTCTGAGTTTACAAGAAATCGATTCAAAATTCACTATTTAAATCCTTTTTGACTACCGCCGGACACTGTACGGTAACGGTTGCACTTCACTGTAATTTGCATGCATGATTAAAAAAAATTTTTTTTTGAGGGGGTGGCTGTTTTTCCTTCTAGGCAAAATGTTAAATATAAAAAATAAATGAAAATTAAAATATTTAAAAAATAAAACTAGTATAACAATTTACAAAAAAAATTTTAAGAACAAAAGGTCCATAGAGAAGTATTGTTTTAACAAGGGCTATCAATATAACATTAATTTAGTATGTTTTATTTAAAAGAAAAAGCTATGTGTTCAAAAATGAATGCATTTAATCTGCCACCTGAATAGAAACCTTTTGCAGAGTAATGTCGTATATATTATTTCTAAGCTTTTGATATGTGATTTAATTGCAGTCAATGTGATTAATTAATCGGCATATTATGAGAAATTTACAAGAAACGTCTTTCAAAAACATGTCTTTATAAGCGTCTTGCCAAGCCCAACCATTGAACAGTGCTGTATATGTGTATATAGCATTTAGTGTGTGTATATATATCATATAAAGATAAATTAAAATCTAAATATTTAAAAAAAAAAAAATAAAGAAATCTAATAATTACTTTTTTTTTTTTTTTTTTTTACACGCACACAAATTCTGTCTCGTATCTAAACCTTTGTTTGGTAGTGTAGCTGGAGAAGTGATGAACACACGCATGTTGTTTGGCTGGAGACTCGTGATTGTGTGTGTTTGATCTCAGGGAGTGTGTGGTGGACTCCGTGGGTTTGCTGGGCGAGGTGAGCCGTGATCAGGCGCGGGCGAGTTTGCTGTCGGCTCCTCTGCTGCAGGATCTGGAGGAATGGAGTCAGTGGCAGCTGGTGTTTCAGCCCAACCACGGCCCTCTCAAAGACTTCATCGACAAGTACTGTGGTGCGTCACCTTGCCAGAAGCGTGTTTCATAAAGAAATAAATGAACATTCAAACTGTGATCTAGGGGTGTGCAATGCTCCTATGATGTTTTAACTGTGTGGAAGCTGACGTGGTGTCAAAAAACAATCTAAAACGCACCATGATGGTGGACATTTTCACCGTGTGACGTAGCCTACTAGAATGATATCACATTTCAATATACGGGAATTTTCTTATATTTCCATGCGATATAGTTAAGCAATATCACACGAGGAAAGAGTGCTGTTAGTATTGATTTTATACAACTTTTCAATAAACAAGAAGCTCATTGTGTGTTAGATTTTAGACACAATATATATATTTTTTTCGCCAAAGAAAATATTTCCAAACAAAGTCACAACTCTGAGCAACACACAGCGGGGTTTCGTTCCCAACTCAGTGATCCATTCATAAAGACAGTCACTGAAGGAATCGGATATCACACGAGGAAAGAGTGCTGTTAGTATTGATTTTATACAACTTTTCAATAAACAAGAAGCTCATTGTGTGTTAGATTTTAGACACAATATATATTTTTTTTTTCGCCAAAGAAAATATTTCCAAACAAAGTCACAACTCTGAGCAACACACAGCGGGGTTTCGTTCCCAACTCAGTGATCCATTCATAAAGACAGTCACTGAAGGAATCGGCCACTTAAACAAATGGTTTGAGTGAATGATGCAATGACTCACTCATTAATACAGTGATTTGCCACCACCTGCTGGCGGTTTTTTGTTCATATTTAAAGTATCGTTTCCTATTAAAATAATTATTTCATGTATTTCAATATTCAAAATATTATTTTTAAAACATTAATCGAATAGCATTATTTATGCAGTTGTAATTGCAATACTAAATGCTGCTTTAGATCACTTCCGCAGTGCAACAATGGATTTTGTCAAGACTGATTTAAGTATAGTTTCTTGTTATTCTACTCGGGGTTATTATACTAAAACAAACACCATTAAAAAAATTCTTTACTTGAAATAAAATAAAAATATATACTAATTTGTTGTTATATTTTCTGTAAGGAAATATTTCTTATTTTGTTTACCTTGATGCTCTAATTAACTAAAACTGAAATGAAAATAAAAATGCGTAAAAGCTATATAGACATATAGAGATAAACATGACAAAATTGAAGACAAAATATAAAAATAAAAACAAATTCATTATAATAATAAAACCTGTAGTAGTATCTCAGTGGTACTAAAAATAATATTGATTCTAATTGAATTTATTGATTAGATATAAGAATTTGACTGATTTATACATCTAATAAAATTAGAAAAAATTGCCCTTATAAAGGTAAAAATGCCCATGGAAATTATTTTAAGGTGTCAAATATCGCCATGTAAAGTAAAAAAAAAAAAAAAAGTTTAGTTAAACAATTTCTGTCTCTGCTGTGAATTAACCATCGCACAGAATATAAAAAAAATATAACAAGCTTGTCCACAACAGGCCTAAACCAGCACGAAAACACATACATTTTTTTTGCAGAAGACTTCTGATTCTCACTGCAGTCTTCATGTGTGCAGGTAAGACGGAGCTGCTGGCTCTCGAGGTTTCTCCCGGCGTCCTGCTGCGGGTCACCGCTGTCACGGGGGACAAACACTTCTCAGAGGCGACACAGGCTCTGGACCCCGTCGGCACCGCCGGACACTTGCTCTCCATTGTGGTGGCTTATGGGATCCCAAACACGCCCACAGCGCTCCTGGCCAATCACATGGAGAGCGCGCTGAATGTAGCAGTCGCACAGGAAGGTAGGAGGTTTTCTTCGTCATGCTTTACTCACTGTCCGTCACACTTTGTCCTGAAACAGTTTGTTTATCTGACTTTGCTCCGTCCATGAACACAGATGATACTGCTCCTACAGGGTTTCCATGGCTCCGTAAAAAGTCTTAAATTCAGGCGATTTGTGGGTCTTAAAACGTCTTGATTCGCCCTTCCACACATTAAGGCCTAAAGAGCTCTTAAATCAGAGCAGGAAGTCTTAAATTCATAAAGTTATAGTTAAAAAGTTAAATGTTCATACACTGCAAAAAATAATGTCTTTGTCAGCACTTTTTCTTGCTTTCCAGTACAAAATTCTAAACATCGAGATACATTTATTTGAGATGCAAAATTAAGATATGAAGTCTTGTTTTTGGAAATTGAACATAATTGAGTGTGTTTATCTTAAAAAAAAAAGCACAAAAACTTTGAAATATGTGACCCTGGACCACAGAACCAGTCATAAGGATCAGTTTTTTTGAAATTGAGATTCATTGATGTATGGTTTGTTAGGATCGGACACTATTTGGCCGAGATACAACTATTTGAAAATCTGGAATCTGAGGGTGCAAAAAAAATCCAAAAATTGAGAAAATCATCTTTAAAGTTGTCCAAATTAAGTCCTTAGCAATGCAAATTACTAATCAACAATTAAGTTTTGATATATTTACGGTAGGAAATTTACAAACTATCTTCATGGAACATGATCTTTACTTAATATCCTAATGATTTTTGGCATAAAAGAAAAATGTATAATTGTGACCCATACTATGTATTGTTGGCTATTGCTACAAATATCCCCCAGCGACTTAACACTGCTTTTGTGCTGCAGGGTCACAAATATTAGATCTTGTTTTCCCTTTGAATTAAGTTGATTAGACTAAGCTGATATTTGTCTCAGAAAACAAGACTTCTTGTGTCATTTTTGATGTCGTCTCGATTTAAGAATAGTGCTGTCAAATCGATTAATTGCATCCAAAATAAAAGTTTGTGTTTACATTCTTAAATATATAGATGTATGTGTTTATATATATATATATATATATATATATATACACACACACACACATATATATATATATATATATGTATATATATATATACACACACACACAGTACACATGCATATATTATGTAAACACAAACTTTTATTTCGGGTGCGATTAATCGGTTTGACAGCACTATTTATGAATAGTTAAGCTGCCTTGTGTGTGTGTGTGTGTGTGTGTGTGTGTGTGTAAAATTAATAAAAAATGGGTAATGTTGCTAATACAACTCATTTTGTGCTCCCTAGACATTTACATTTTGAGAACTTATTGCGTTCCCTTCAATTTTTTCCTTACATTTTCTGTAGCTGGTCTTAAAGTCGTAAATTTGCCTTCATAAAACTTGCAGAAACGCTGGTTTGATCAAATTTAAAGCCATCTTAAGTAGTCTTCAATAGTATAACAAAAGTTATAATTTTCATTTTAAGAGGTCTTAATTTGGAGAACGGAAAAACACGGTTGATGCGATACAGATATGTGATTATTAAACTTTAAAAGGCTGAGATTCAATTAAACACGTTTCAAACAGGATCGCACTTTCAGAGTAGGTAGCAGTCAGTGAATGCCTCATTTATGCCTAACGGTTGCTTATGATGCACCTTTGAACTGACAATGTTTATGCTATGCTTTTTCTCTTATAATAGGTTGTAAATGCTTGTAAGATGCATATTTTACGTCTCATCTTTTTGAATGAGCAGCTGGAAGTAATAAAACAGACATTTAAAAATAAGAGTCCTGGCGTATTTTGGGCTTATTTACGATTAAAAGTCCCTTGTTATGCATAAAATCTTTTTTCCTGTCTATTACTGGTATTTTGGTTAGACGGTAAACAATATCTGGCATTTAAATCAAGGTAAACTCTCTTTCACATATATTTTCTCTCTGGGTCGCTCTGTCACAGGAAGGAAAGACTAAGAATATTATTTACATTCTGTATATAGATTTTATTGATACTGGCACGGTCGTTTTATTGCCTTTCTTTAAACACATTATCGGATGAGTAAAATTCAATATTGATGGATCTCTAATTTTGTGTGTATTGATATATGCGAGCATAAACCAATTTCAATACATAAGTAAATATTGAATAAACATGGCTTGAGTATACCTAGTACTAAATCAAGGAGTTTATAATTGTTTTTATTTTGAGAATAGATATGACCTGGTTGTTTATATAAGATGTTGAATTGGTCACTTAAATCTAACTCATATTTATTCAGAGAAGAGAAACCAGTTTGTGATTTGTGTAAAAATTTCTTGAGTGTAAAACATATTTCAATAGAATGTCCAGTTTTGATATTAATGATATTAGACAGTGTTTTTATTCAGAAGATATAATAATGGACATTTTAAAAAGGCTTCTCCTGGAATAATTGTAATAATTGTATGTTTTTTTTTTAATCATACATTTAAATTGAAATATTAAACTTAATTGTTATTATTACTATTGTTGTTTTAAGTGTATATTTATATTTGTATGTACACTAGTAACATTTGAAGTGGATCAAAACCTTTTGAACTTTTTTGATCCACTTCAAATGTTTACTACTATATTTTATTTGTATGTTTTTAAGACAAATTGCCATGAATATAATCATTGCTGCTGATATGGCAACAAACAAACAAATAAAAAATAGATGAATATAAATGAAATATTTTTATTTTGAGACTGTATGAGTTTGTTCTCTAACCGCATGATTTATTAGTTTTATCTCTGTAGACCTTAAAGATCTTAAAGTCTTAATTTAGATTTGAAAGTCTCTGCAGAAAGCCTGATTAATGAATGTGATCTCATGTTTGTGTTCTGTGTTTGAAACAGAGATAAGGCCCGGCGAGGATGGATACTCGTACGGCGGTGTGGCTCGGTTTGTGCTTGAATGTGTTGCGCTGATGCCTACGAGAATCTGCAAGGAACTCCTGCAGCAGGTACCGACCGTCTTCAGATCCCTCTCATTAAACACTGAAGGCAGCAGCTTTCATCAGACTAACAGCTCGACTCGTGCGGGAGAGATCAGTAGTGTTCGTCAAATATTACATTTTCCCATCATTACTGTGACACCAGGAAAGTCGAGTCTGAGATGTGGGTGGGTACCAAAGGCTCTCGGTGTGAATTAAAGGCCTGTATCTAGGTTGTTGTCATGACGACCGTTGCCGAGTGTCATTCTTCGTGGGTTAGAGGTTCATTCTCCTGTCACATCATTAGTGTCGAACGCCTCTGGTGCTGCTGCTTCAGTCGGATCATGACACAAACACGTGCACGAAGTGCTGAGAGAGGTCACATCTTACTTTCCCCGCTGGATATTTGCTTTATGATTAGCGATAGACTCTATTATTGCACAGGCCAGTTAATCAGCTGATATATTTTCGAGATCAGTGGATATTTATGATTGGATGAGTCTCGTTCGAGCTGCTGTATTCGCACACCTGAATGCATCAAATGTTATGTTGCTCGGCTATAAATGAGCTAAAGTGGCAAATCAAATCGAATAAAAAAAGAGAGATATACTTGTAATTTTCAGATTAAAAATGATAATTACTTTTAACAGTATACCCAATTCGTACACGAAATAAATAACAAACAGAAATGTATAATAAGCGTTTAAAAAAATATATAAATAAATTAGATATAGAATATTATAAAATAAAAATGTATATTTAAATTAAAAAAATAAAATAAAATAAATAGGCATGTGTTATATAAATATACATCATTATTAAAAATTTTTTATTATATATTTAAATAAATAAATGAATAAATAATAAAAAAAAATATATAACATAGAATTTTATAAAGGGATCGTTATTTATAAATGTCATCATTTACTCATGCTTGTTGGAAGAATTGTTTATTCAGATTTTATTAAGATTATATTAAGAGATTTAATTGGTTGTTAAACCTTAAAAAATATATGTAAATATTTATAATGAAACATAAGTTTCTGTTCCTCTGTTGAAAATCTGTTCCACCAAAAGTTTTATTAAAAATATTTTATAAATAAAAAAAAAATATATATATAAATGTGGATATAAATAAAAATATATATACACTTTTTTTTTTTTTTTTTTTTAGAAAAGAACTGAGTAAATATTAATAAGTATTTATTTATAAGGCGATTTTCCTGTCTCATAGTCTAATTTGCTGTCATTAAATTGTTTGTATTTTCATTATATCAGGCCATTATAAACACCCATATTGGCAGAGCACTAATGATGATCTGATTCTCTAGTCAGCATTGGGATGTGTGTTTTATGCTTTGGCGATTCTGATGACGCTGTGCAGGTGTTTTTGGAGCCGCTGTCTAAAGTGCTCGGTCAGACCAGATCGAAAACACTGCTGCTGGACGCTGCACGTTCACACACACGCTACCTGAACAAACTGCATCAGATGGGGCTCCTGCTGGGAATCACCGAGTGGAGGAGCCACTTCAACGACAAAGTGCTTCTGCCAGCTCCTCCTCAACTGCCTTCAGAGATCAAGAAGGTTTGGGTTCCCTTCTAGTCTGTTTGAGCACAACAGTGTTTCCAACTGGATTTTGAAAGCACCAAAATTGGGCTTAATGATGAGCATTTAAACGTTTGGTACCTTTACAAATGCATGCTTTTAAACGTTTCCAAAAGGATACGATATACAGTAACAGTCTTCTCATCTCATTTCAAGAACAAATAATCGAAATAAAACTTATATTGAGAAGTGACAAAGGAGAAGGTTTTCTTTCAGAATAGAAGTTTGATTGTTTACAATGCTTGAAAAATTGAAAATGAAGGCGTCCATAAATATCAGTATTGTAATTTTACAGTTACATTAATGTAAAATAAAATATAATATTATTCTTAATAAATACTCCTTTTAAAATAATTTTTACAGTTAGACAATACAGTACTAATATTTCAAATTTAGTTTTTATTAATTTTAATATTTTAATTAGTGGTAAATAATATTATATTGTTATTATTTATTTTTCATAGCCATATATATATACTTTTTTCCCTGCATCATGCAGACCTAATTTCAAGTCATAAATGATATTCTTCAGACAATGCAAAAGCAATGCAACACATATATGTCCATATTTATAGTTTGTTTATCAAACACCTGGCAATCTGTGCAGTTTGTGGTGGAGGACTCCATGAGTGACATGTCTTCAGTGTTGAGTCAGAATGAGCTGGATAATGAGGAGGAAACCGAGCTCAGCACTTCCTCCAGCAGCCCCAGAAGAGACCATCAGCAGGGTGAGACTGCCCACTTTTTGATGTTTTTGTCTTTTCTTGTGCATGATTGTTTTATTACACTTTGACATTCAGTTAATTATAATGTTTGTAATATTTCATAAATGGTGTGATGAAGTCACATGATAAACCTGGAGCTGTTAAATCAAGTCTGAATGTCTGTTGTTTAATTCTTAGGTTCAGTAAGAGAACAGAAAGTGGTCATGATTTTGGTGCAAAAAAAACAGTAAAATTGAAATAAAATAATAATAATTTTCTTTTAATGTGTAGAAAAAAATGTCTGAAAACTAACTAAAAGAACAATAAAAATAGTGACTAAAAATTTATGGAAAAATATGGTAAGAATTAAAATAAAACAAAGAAAAAGGATAAAGATGTGTAGAAGAATATGGGTTAAAAATAAAATTAAAAAGCTAAAGTGATAAAAATTTAGAAAAGTATGGCTTGAAATAAAACAATAAAAATAGAGATAAAATGTTTAGAAAAATATGGCTTAAAAATTTAATAAAAGCAATAAAAAAATGTATTGATAAAAATGTTGAAAATTGCATCATGAAATAAAAATTGTGATAAAAACAGGTAGAAAAATGTGGGATAATGACATGAAAGAACAGAAAAAAATGTGTAAAAATATGGCTTAAAAATTAAATCAAATAAGCACTGTATTCTGAAAGCATTGTGTCTTCTTTTAGACGATGGTGATGGTGGTGATGATGATGATGATGAAGAGGAGCAGATGTACGAGCTGGTGTCTGAACACATTGAAGAGACGGACAGCAGTGAGGACGAGGACAGAGAAAACTCAACGACTGCTGATCATCCAGATGAAGAAGTGAACGCCGAGCTGGATCAGCACCGAGCCGTCATAGAGGACATCAGGTTCATTCAGCCCTTAGTTTACACACTCTTTCAGAATTTAGCTGGGTGCTAATGCTGTTGCTGCTGATGCTGTAGGAAAACGGAGTTCGGCATCGGCGTGGAGCTGAACGAGGAAGGCCAGAACCTGATGAGGAAGCAGCAGGCGAGACTGGGCCGCAGTCTGGAGCGGCTCTCCACTGAACTCTACAGCAAAGACACACACTTCGTGCTGGAGCTCATTCAGGTCAGCAGCAACCTTTGAAAAATTCTTAGCGGATCATTCAAATCTGCAGTTGCCATGTTTAGGTTAGAAACCGCTCACAACCAGTCTTTTCAACTACACAGTATTATTTCTGTCTTATTACAGTCATTCATATTATCACAGAAATACTGGAATGAAAGTTTATGATGTTGATGTCTATGGTAGAGCAAATCACCTTTTGAACTGGCGCTTTAAGTAATGTTTGTTTCGATTACAGCGTTTCGTCACTAGGTGTTAACAAGTGAAAAAATTTATTTGTCGCAGAATCATTCATTCAAGAGATTCGTTCATAAACGCTGATTCATCCAGTAATGAAACAAGTGATGTATTTATGAGTGAGTCATTGAATCATTCATTCAAACCACTTTTTCATCATTTTAAAATAAAAAATTGGTACATATATATATTAGGGCTGCAAGTTTAAAGCGTTAACGTAAATAATTAGTTAAGAAAAAATAACCAGATTAAAATATTTTAACGCAGTTAACGCACTGGGCCCGCCCCCAGACCTGTATGTACAGTGTGTATATATATATATATATATATATACAACAACACGTAGGCTACAGGGGTATTTTTGCACCAATATCTTGAATTTTAGGGCCTAAAATATTAGGGCCCATATATATATATATATATATATATAAGGCCCTAAAATTCAAGATATTGGTGCAAAAATACCCCTGTAGCCTATGTGTTGTTGTCTCATATTTCTATCATACAATAAGCGATATCACACGAGCAGGGAGAGCAGTATTACACTAGTGATGATTTTGTCCCGAATATCACGAGTTTAAATGTGGTTAATACAACAGTTCAGTAAATATGAAGTTGATGTTGTGTTCTATTTTAAACACAATTATTATGTTTTTCTCCATTTTGCAAAGAATATAATTACCTTTAAAGCCATAGCAGAATTGTTGCTGGTCTCCGAGCAAAACAGAGGTGTTTAGTTTCTGAATGAATCTGCGTTTTGAACGAATCGTGTGAATCAATGATTCAAAGACTCATTCATAAGAGAGCCGTTTACTTCATTCCTGAATGAATCAGCCATTTGAACGAATGATTCATAAAGACATTTACCGCCACCTGCTGGCAGATTAGTTTCTTATTTAGAGTATAATTTAATTAAATAATAATAATAATAATAATTATCTTCTTTTATGTTCCATAGGCCATTGTGGCCTAAATGTTTATGTGTAATAAATTGTATGTTGAATCAAATGAAAAGATTTCTTTTTAAAGCTACAGTTTGTAATGTCTACTTGATACTTTCTCATTTAACACAAAAATAGCTTTAAATAATCTTTTGTGGGTATTTTCAGTCAAATTTATTTTGCGATTAATTAGATCGAAACATCATGTAATTAATTCGATTAAACATTTTAATCGACTGACAGCCCTAATAAATATACATATATATATACACACGCACATATATATATATTTATATATATTAGTGCTGTCAATCGATTAATCGCGATTAATTGCATCCAAAATAAAAGTTTTTGTTTACAAAATATATGTGTGTACTGTGTATATTTATTATGTATATAAAAATACAGTATATATTTTGAAAATGTTTATATGTATATTTGCATTTATGTAATTTATATTTAAAATATAAACAACATTTCTCTTAAATATATATGTGCATGTGTGTGTATTCATATATATACCTAATAAATATACACAGTACACACACATATATATATTACGTAAACAAAAACTTTTATTTTGGATGCGACTAATTGCGATTAGTCATTTGGCAGCACTAATATTTATATATTTATATAAATGCCTAATAATTCATTCAAAACAATGAAACACTTTTAAATAGACTGCAGCAATTAATATTTTGTCACGCACATTATTTTGTTTAGTTCAGAGTCGTGGGAGAATCGTGATCTCTATTTGAGACGTAAAAAAACAGCGATTCTCAGTTTATCCAGAATCGTGCAGCGCTTACTGAAGCTGATGTTTGTGTGTGCAGAACGCTGATGATAACTGCTATCCTGACGGCCGAGAGCAGCCGGCGCTGGCCTTTGTGGTGGAGAAGGACTGCATCGTCATCCTAAACAACGAGTGTGGGTTTGAGGAGAACAACGTCCGTGCTATCTGTGACGTGGGCCGGAGCACCAAAGGAAAACACAAATATGGCTACATCGGTACTTTAATTATGTGCTGTTTTGTTATCCATGTGTGGTTGTGCTAAAATGTCTTGGGAACTATTTTGTCCAAAACCTGTTTCGTTCACATTCCACAAACCACAGTCGAAGTGCGTTTGCGGTAGGGCTGCACAAAATATCGCAATAAAATCACAAATGTACAGATTATGATCTGCATATCACGATTTTAAGAAGTTGCAAAATAATAACAATAACAGAATAGACTGGCACACGACTGTTACTTCAGTGCATATCAGTGCTATTTTAGTATTAATTATATTATAGTTTTTATTCATATTTTGAATAAGTATTTTTATTTTTTCTATTTCATTTTAAAGTTTAAGTAATTTTGTTGCATGTTTTTGTATTTTGTTTTCCATTTTTTTTATTAATTATTATTATTTTAGTTAGTTGTTTTTGTACATTTAGTTAAACTAAATGCAAATGAGAAATGTTGTCTTGTCAACAAGCTGAAAACTAGCTTATTATTAATTTTTTATATTTAATTTGTTTCAGTAAAAAAAAAATTTTGTTTAACATTTTTTTTTTTTTTTATGGTTTTAGTTTGTTATAGCTATAATAAACCTGGTGCTTATGCGCCAATGATTGTATTAATTGGCTAAAGATCATGAAACAATCATGTATGTTGGTAAGTTTTTAAACACATTTATAGATCAATTAAATTGCACTCTTTAATATCATGTGGCCACAATTTGTAAACACTGTCCTAATATCAGTACTGAAAGACTGTTATTATTGTTACCTAAAATGTAAAAAAAATTAATAAATATATAAGTGAAATAAAAATTTATAAAAACTATATAGACATTTAAAAAAAAAATATATATATATAATTAAATTATAAAATTGTCAAAACCACTACTATAACTAAAATGGAAATGGAAAATATAAAAGGTAATTCAAAATATTAATGAAAACTATAATAGTATATTTTTTGTGCTTTATCAGCACGCTAAAAGTCTGTCATAGTGATTGATGCATGTATTAATGAAATAAGAGTCCCTCCTTTTGAAATCAGCTCACTGGTCTCAGCTGACCAGAAGAGACCGATCTAAATGAACAATGTCTGTGGTGTTTTACACACAACTCTGCACTTTGTTTTGTTATACAGGTCAAAAGGGCATTGGCTTTAAATCGGTTTTTAAAGTCACCGACTGTCCTGAGATCCACTCCAATGGTTTCCACATCCGATTTGACAAGAACAGCGGCCCCATGGGATACATCTTGCCTCACTGGGTCGAGCAGGAGCGGCCAGGGAGCGCTGGCGCCAGAGAGATCGCAGAGCAGAGGTTAAACAAACCCACGAGATTCATAGACAGGGCTTAGCCTAAACCAGGATTAGGCCATAGTTCAATCGGGACATTTAAGTAATTTTTATAAACATGCCTTAGAAAAAAGCATTACTGGTGCACATCTTAAGACAGAACAAAGGCACTGACATGTTTTAAGATCAGTCAGTGCACGTTTCTTTCAGCTGAAACAGCTCAGATTTACATTTTAGTCTAGGACTAGGCTTAAGCCTGGTCTGTGAAACCGAGGGTTAGAGTTCTCACTCTGCCAGAACACTTTTACTGTCAATATTACATCTACTTTCTCTAGTAATAACTGTAACTTATGCATAATTACTTGCAACTAACCTTAAACCGACCTCCAAATAGTAAGTACATGTAGTTAATTAATATTGCTCAGTACTTAAATGTATAATTGCACTGTAACAAGGACACCATAAAACAGTGCAACTAAAAAAAACGTTCTAATTTTCAATATATTTTAATGTATCTATTTGTTTAATTAATTAAATTATGTAATTTTTTAATGTATTTAATATTTATTAAATTTGTAATATTATTAAAATATTTTAATTTTATTTTTATTATTTTATTTAGGGATTTTATTTCATGTGTGCTGTTTTGGTTTGCAACCTGCTTAAAGCTACTAAAGTTCAGACATCACAGTTGCCTTTTTGCTTGCGTCGTTGTTATGAAACGGCTCTTTGCTGTCTATTTTTATTCTAGATGGGCTACAAAGATCCACCTGCCCCTGCGCTCCGAGAGCTACCAGACTAAAAACCTCTTCCATGACGTTCATCCCTCGCTCCTGCTCTTCCTCCATCGCCTTCGCTCCATCACCATCTTTAATGAGGTGAAGACCTGCTTCATGCATCACCACCCAAAAACAGCTCCTCCTATTAACCCTAGAAAGCCTGCTGTATTATATTTGAAACTGTTAAAGCTGTCACACACGATCTACTCCATGCCTTCTGTCGTCTGATTGATATTTGAAAGCTTTTAGTGTAATTGTACAAACGTCCAGCTTCAGCTGCTGCTTCACGTGTCTTTTCTCTGTCAAATCTTTACTGATTTTTATCAGGTAAACGTCAGAATACCTGTAGTAATATTTCCAGATGAACACTTATTTGATGAATTACTTGATTCTCCATCAATCAGAAAAATCAGTGCGTCTGAAATCTGGAACATTGATTTGTTCATCTCTCAATCATCATTGGATTGCATTGCATTATGTTTGATCTCATCTTACTAGACATATTATTGGAGATATAGAGTACTGACTGATTTATATAATTTTACCTAAGTATCTGCTATACTATAATAAAGATCTTATTGATTCACAAGCATCAGAATTTAATCGTATAAATATCAGCATCTGCACCAAATTGCATATTTGTGCTCAATATGAGTCTCTGAATAAAACTGAGCTCAATATATCAGAGCCAAAAAAGCCTGACGCATCAATGATATTTTGTCCATGTTTTGTTTGTATTTTAACTATTATTTCATATGTCAGACTTTACAAGTGCTTTAATCTTCAGGCTGAGAAGCGTTTGGTGTCGATGACGCGCCGTGATCTGAGCCATAACATCCTGGAAGTGGCACACACTGGTGGAGAAGAGCGTTGGCTAGTGATCAAGAGAATGCTTTATCCTAAAAAGGCAAGTGTTGCGCACATTTATGTCCTCATGTATGGGGAAATGCACTAAATCTAAGGGTAGAAGTGAGCCTTGCTTCTGTATTGTTTACCTGCGTCCTTGTCCCAGTTTTACCATCTTTTAATTGGCCTCTGTTCGGTTCTCATGACATGGCGTCTTATAAGACGCTGCTTTAATGTGTTTGGGGACGTTATGCAAGTGTTCTGTGCTTTATACCTCTGGGGAACGAAGTGTTTTTCGCTCTCGTCTCATTCAAACTGATTAGTAAAGTGCAGTTTGTTCCCTTTGTTCTCAGAAGCAGCAGAGATTCACTGCACTTTCTGTCCGTCTCCTTTATGAAATTAATTTTACCTGTAGTTTTAGTTCTTTGTTGACTTGAGACATACTTTGTAAGACACATAAATGCATTTTAAAGGCTAGTACACACTAAAACAACTAACTGCAACTGTTGAGATATTTTAAAACGTTGATCAAAAGTGACAGTAAAGACTGTAATAATGTTAAAAAAGATTCTTTTGAACTTTCTATTCATCTGTGAATCCTGAAAAATTAAATGTGTCATGGTTTTCAGAGAAATATTCAACAGCACAACTGTTCTAACATTTAATCTTGACTTGCGCTGCAGTCTTGAACAGCAAATGTGCATATTAGAATGATTTCTGAATGTGACACTGTGGACTGGAGTAATGAAGCTGAAAATTCAGTTTTGATCACAGGAATAAATTATGTTTTACTATATATTCACATAGAAAACGCTATTTTAAATTGTAATAATATTTTAAATTTTTTACTGTATTTTTGATCAAATACATGCAGCTTTGGAAAGCAGAAGAGACTTCTTTCAACAAATCTTACAAAAAAAGAAAATAAAAATCGTACAGGCCCCAAACTCTTAGTTTTTTTAATTCATTTTTTTAAATGTATAAATTAAAGGAAATTAATAACATTTTCCCCTGTTTTATACATGTAAGTTATATTTGTCATCCTATAATGATCACTTAATAACAACCTTGCTAAATGTAATTCAGAATCTCTAAATTAATATCTATTTTTTTGTACTCTACATTATAATGATGTGATGGTTAAATTTAGAGATGCTCTTGAAGCACTTAATGATTCATTTTAATAAATATATACAGGTGCATCTCAAAAAATTTGAATATCATTGAAAAGTTCTTTATTTTTTGTAATTTAATTAAAAAAGCTAACTTTTATATTCTAGATTCATTGCACACAAACTTAAATATTTTTCTTTTCAAAGTCTTCTTTTAAATAAAATTAAATTACAAAAAATAAAGAACTTTTCCATGATATTCTAATTTTTTTAGATGCACCTGTGTATGTATGTATGTGTGTATATATATATATATATTTCATCCAAGGCCTAATTTATAAATATTTTTGTATTTTATTTAGCCAAAATAGTATAGTTGCATTCCTATATTATATAGAATTATAGAAAAAGTTCTATAACCGGATGTTTCAGCATGTTTTTTTCTTCTTTTAAATCATGATGTCTGTAGTTTCTACCTTGACATTGACACATGATTCACTGCTTGTCTTCAGCATGTGTCTGTGTTTCTGAGTAGATTAAAGAAGACGTGGAGTCGACAGAATTGGCTCTGGCGTTCCAGCTCAGTGGCTCGTCTCCCTGTGATGTGAAGCCTCAGAAACAGCCCGTCTTTGCCTTTCTTCCACTTCGCAGCTTCGGTTTCCGTTTCATCATCCAAGGTTTGACACGTGCATATGTGCATCACGGTTATCCGTCTACCTGATGTTGTCACGTTTATTGAGTGTCGCATCAGTCACACATTAGGTAATTGCTAAGTTAGTGTAGTTTAACTTGAAGTAATAAAATAACTAAATCAACTAAAACTAATAACCAGTGTTATTTTGGTGTCATTCATATTATTATTATAGTTTTTATCGTATTATGTTTCATATTTTGAATTTTTAATATATATGTATATGTATATGTGTGTGTGTGTTTTGCCATTTTAATTAGTTATCTCTTTTAATATTTACATAGTTTTTATTAGGTTTAATGTTGAAATCAAGCTGAAATCAAATACATTTGTTTTTATTTTATTTCATTTCATGTTAAATTTGTTAAGTACTTAACATTTATGGTTTTGTCTTTAGTTCTAGTTTTAGATTTAGTTAGGGTTTAGTTAATGATAATAACCCTGACAATAAATAAAAATGAATACAAACTGTTCATATAGACATAAAAAAAAACTACTAAAAACTAAACAAAAAAACTAGACGACAACACACACACCGAAACTTTAAATTAAATAAAAGTGCAATCAGAAAAAACTATGATATATACATACTATGATAACATTGGTCACGCTGTGTTCCCCGTTGTAGGTGATTTTGACATCCCTTCCTCCAGAGAGGATGTGGACAGGGACAGTTCCTGGAACCAGTGGCTTCGCTCTGAGATCCCGCAGCTGTTTGTACACGCCATGGATGTCTTCAATGTAAGAACGGAGTGGAATATGATGTTCCTCCATTAATTTGCATGCATTTGCATTTAAATTCCAGCTTCAGATGAAGGTCAAGGCTCACAGTCTGTTTAAGGAGCTGCTTTTAGCATGAAAAAAGAAAAAAAAATGGCATTGGCTTTCTTTATGCGGCATCCAAATGAACATTTCTAGCCCTAATGAGCACATGCAATGTCAATCCCACAGCAACACCCAGAGTTCAGCGGGCTCGGTGGCCTCTGTTACTTCATGCAGTTCATCCCTCAACCAAGTGAGATCCTGGACTTCTTCAACCCAGTGGCCAATCAGATCATTCAGCTGCTGAAGGGCAAAGCTTGCCTTCCTGCCAAAGAGGACAGCGGTAGGTACCAGAGTTTCCTTTTAAGGGACAATATTTGCCCCTTGGAATTTATTTAATCTGCATTTTTTTACCTTTTGTTGGGGTAAAATGTTATAATTACCTTATTAAATGTATGCAATGTTTTTTTTTTTTTTGTCAAATACATAGAGTTCTGGCATGAGACTCTAGATGGCGCAGTCCGATAGGTCTAACTCAATCTGACCTAATGACATCATTATCACATGGCACAGCTGATTGGTTCTCTCCTGTATCGGTAGCCAATGAGCTCGCTGCTCAAAATTGAAATATATGACTTGTGCTTGCTGTAGCAGTTGCAGCTTGCTTCAGAAACCCTCCACCTTCCCCAGCTCCACCTGTATAGATCTGTTACGAGGTGATTCATGTATGCTATATGGGGTTATTTCATGTATGTTATATTTGCAGCAGCAGTATTTCTTACATGCTCACAGCAGCATATTGTGGATGTATTGGCAGTAGCAAGTCTCGGTACTTGCTCTGCCGCAGCAGCAGCGTAGCAGATCTATTCTGCCAAGACCAAATACATTAACATCGTCATGTACATTACCATGCCAATCCCTCCGAGAGTTGTCATGACAGAAATAAGTTTAACCAAATAATTCAATCAGTCAGTGCTGCTCAAAGGTGGCATTTATGTATTTACACAACAGCTACATAATGTAATTAGCCTGCATAAAGCATATTAATTAAAAAATTTAATTATAATAAAATTTAAAAAAAGGAACTCATTACAGGGTAGGGCTGCAATATGACAAAAATCATTATTGTCGATTATTGCTGTTAAGTTGATTAATTAAATACATAAATGTGTTTGGGGAAAAGGCATGTCACATTCTCTGCACAGACAAAACAAGCTAAGAACCGTTGATTAATTTATTGTTTTTTATGCATTAGAAAACCGAGGCTTCGCATTAGTTATTTTAATAGCATGACAAACAAAACGGTTATTCAAACTGGGAATAAATTATATTCCGAGAGAAGGTTCCAATATAGAAGGTTGTTTACGCTACAGGATTAAAAAAATCAGAAAAGGTAATTGCGACTTTTTATATCACAATTTAGATTTTTTTTCTCTGAATTGTGAGATATAAATTCTAACAAACATCTCGCAATTGTGATTTTTTTTTTTTCCCTTAGAAATATGACTTTGTCTCGCAGTTCTGACGTTTTTCCTCTGAATTCTGACGTTGTTTCTTGTAGTTCAGTTTTTTTTCCTGCCATAGTTAATTACATTTTAACATGTTTAAAAACATTTTATCTAAAAAAATCGTCAGATTTCATTCATTTTCACATTTTGTTTTAATCGCAACAGACATAATGGATACATTTTTGCCCCAAGCTGATTCAGTGATTAAAGCATAAACTGACGCCTCTGTCTTTAGAGGGCCGAGTGGAGTTCAAGCAGCCTTCCCAGCTCGCCGTGTGTCAGGACCGTCTGATCCAGGACGTGATTGGAGGAGAGGATCTGTGCAGAAGCCTGAGTCTGTCTTACTTGCATCCTGCGCTGCAGTCGCGTCTCTCTGGCTCGCTGCTAACCGCGCTAGGCGTTCATCGCCTCAGAGCCGTCGAGATCATCACCGTCACCTGCGCCATGGCCAGAGAGCTCGTGCAACACGGCCGGCTCAAGACAGGTATCTTCTGCTGTGATCGTGTGCAGAAACCTGCAGGTTCTGACTGATCAGCAGTTTTATGATCGTATGTTTGTCTTTTCTGCTCAGAGCATGATCTGAAGAAGCTGGCCAGGCTGTTGGTGTGTAACTTTCGTGCGCTGGAGTCGGAGTATGAAGTTGACGCCCTGCTCCAATCCCTCAAAGACGTTCCCATGATCCCTCTGGCCAACGGCAGTGTGGTTTCTCTGAGTTCAGAGGGAGTTTTCTTTCCTCTCAGTGATGTGTTGCAAGCTCAAACAGGTAATTCATCAGCATCTCAATATTCCAGTCCTGCAGTGGAACCTTTCATACAGTTTTCTTGACATAGACTATGTATATCTGGTGTGACTAATTAAGGAAAAAAGTAGGCATTAAATGCAGCTGTCCCATCCAGACCTGTCTGTCATCTTACATTGGTGCGGTTGCTGATGAACATGATGCAGGATGACTATTAGAATGCAGTTAAATGAGCCTAAAATTCAATATGTGAGGGCAAAAAAATCACCCTCTTATATTTGTCAGTTTAGCAATATCACACTAGCATGAGTGCTGTTTTGTCCCCAATACCTGTACCATTGCAAATGTGATATTGATTTACAACAACTGAATGAACAAGAAGTCAATATTGTTACATTATTACAATAATGTGAATATTGCCTGGTTTTGCTCAATTCCGACAATGACAATTGTTCATTAAATAAGATATATATATATATATATATGTACGTATATATCTCAGATTGGTTTCAGCAGATACTCAAGGTTGCACTATCGGCATCTGTATCGGACATAAAAAAATGGTATCATGCCATCCTTAAACTCAATATTTCTTATAGATTAAATATATCAATAAACCATAAACAGAGAGATATTTTAGTGAAACATTCGAAATTTCAGTTCCTCCATTGAAAGTCCATGGGGAAAAAACTTTGATGCTTCAGAAAGTTGAGGAAGAGATTGTAAGAGTAATCCATATAAATGCAGCGGTTTAATAAAAGTCTTCTGAAGAGATATAAACACTGTTATATGATATTCAAATTTAATTTAGGCCTTTATTCATATATTGCCATGATCAACACACATGCATAGAGCATATCAAATATGGTCAATGGAAGATCAAACATGCATGCTTGACATTCACTTTTATTTAGCTTCTGTAGAACTGGCTAATCTAAAATAATTTCTTGTTGCTTAAATGTTTATTAAGTCTTGTATTCAGTCAGCAGTTGCTTTTCATGTCTGCTATTGTATGCGGACAGATTCTCTGGAGCTGTCCGCAAAATGAACGATCCTCTTCATCTATTTATTTCCTGAACCAATACAGTGAGTCACAGGAGAGAAAGCGCTCGAGCAAGTCACTACGTGCGTCACTGCAGTCAAAAAAAGGGATAGTTTTGTGAATGAAACGCCAGGTTGAGATGAATTTGTCCTCTAAAATCTTTACTTTTACCTCTAATCTCAGTTTTGAAGCAAACTCCCAAACGCGCTTTCTTTTGAACGATTAAAAACGAGCCGTTTTTCTTCTATGGCTGCTGTCAGATAAGTCATAAGAGATTTGTCTGGTGAAAATATGAATCGAGTTGAATGGAAACGAGCCATGCTGACGCTGTGTGTCAGGTAGAGTCACATACATCTGCTGAAAGCAGGGAAGGGATGAATTAAACATCAGTATTGGGGCCCAGAGGGTCTGGGAAGTGGGTCACGCAGCCGCTCGTGTGCACTCATGCTTCCTGACTCTGTAGATCTGCAGGCTCTCTACCAGGACCTGAACATCGTGGAGCCGCGGCTGCTGGCGTCTCTGGATGAACTGGGAAACTCGCAGGTGCGGGAGCTGCTCCGGAGACTGAACGTCCATGAGCTGGAGCCGCAGCAGGTCCTGCAGCAGCACATCTACCCGCTGCTCAGGAGCAAAGCCTGGGAGGTCAGAGATGCTTCTCCTGGTTTTGGTGACACTTTTATCCAAAGCGCTCTTAATACATGAACGGCTATCCAATAGTAATGTCTCTAATGGGGTTTGAACCTACACACTTCCCACTTTTTCCAACCCAAATCTTTAACCACTGAGCCAAACCAGCTCTATTTAATTAAACCATTTGGGTTTGCTTCATAAGAGAAGACCATCAGGCCTTTCTAAGTAACTCCACATCATTAGTTTGAGCTTCCAGTGGTTCACATTATGGATGCATGATATTAAAATTCATTTAAAATGTAAAATTCATATGCAATTTTAAAATGTAATTAATTAAAAATGTGTCATTTAGTAATTAGTAATTTAGTAAATTAAATTAAATTAAAAATGTATAATATGTTGTCTAAATACAATACAAATAAAACACTAAAAACTGATATTAGTGATTACAATTCTGGACTACTGATAAGACGAGTATTTTCACGGTATGATACAATTGAAATGTACATTTATAAGTTAAAATGTAATTAATTCAATTGCATTCATTAAAAGCAAAATGTATGAATTTATTAAATACATTTAAAATGTTAACCGTTTTGTCTCATTACATTAAAAATAAACACTAAGAACTAAAATCAGTCGTTTTAAAAGTATTTGGGTTTCAAAACATCGCAATGGACAGTATGAAATTTGAATATGGATATTCGTTTTGAAATGTATTAAAGATTATTTTTAACGGTGCTAATGAATTATTACTTTTTTAAATATTAACTTAGAGCATTTAGACCAAGATTGATCTATTTTAATTGCATATAAAATGTGCATATCCAATTTCTCATACATTTTAACTAATTTCAGTATCGCTTGTTCCACAGTCATATTTTAAACACGTTCATACTATTTAACTGAAATATTTAATTTATTGCAATTTTTAATTGAATTGTTTTCACAATGAAGAGATTTTAAGCTAATTGAATAAATGCGTTTTGAAAATATGGTTATTTAAATACAATCAAATAGACGTAACTAGTTAATTAAACTATGCCATGATTTTTTTGAATGCAGAAATCTTATATCTTTTTATTTATGTATGACTGACAAACGTCACATTAAGTTTATTAGTTTGTTAAATATGTGTGTTCCAAATGGATGGAAATTGTATATGCAAACCTTATACATAAATCTTAAATTTAAATATTTTTTGAGTGTAGATGACGGCTAAAAAATAAAAGTATAATATTGGCCAGTAACCAATAAGGTACAGATATATATATATATATATATATATATATATATATATATATATATATATATATATATATATATATATATATATATATATATATATATATATATATATATATATATATATATATATATATATATATATATATATATATATATATATATATATATATATATATATATATATATATATATATATATATATATATATATATATATATATATATATATATATATATATATATATATATATATATATATATATATATATATATATATATATATCATGCATCTGTAGTTCACATGATCTTTTCTTACAGCTCAGCTTGCTTAGTCTGTGTCCTTTACACTGAAGTTGGAATAAGATTTACACGTACTTGGGTGATTCCGCTCAGGATGTTTAAAACCGAATCAAGCGTGTGAAATGCATTATGTGCTGTCATCTATTATGAATGTTCCTCATATTCTTATTTAATTCACTCTCCTTCTAGAAAAAGCCCGAGGACATCGTCATCAGCTACCTGGTGTTCATCAAACTGCACTCTCAGGATCAGGATTACAGGAGCCTCATCACAAACGTCCCTGTGCTGACTAACAAGGGCTTCCTCTGCCCCGCCGAGCACAAAATCCACTTCTCCAAAGAGTACGGCAACATCCACCTTCCCAGTGTGCTCCCCGGTAAACACAATAAAAAACTATTCACAAAGAATTACAAAGAAAAAATTTGTTTTTGTTGGTAACACTTTTTATTTTAAGGTGTCCTTGTTTAACATGTTACCTGTACTTACTATTATAATAACAATAAATTATGCATAATTACATGTAAGTAACTCTAATCCAACCCCTAACCTCAAACCATAAAATAAAGCAGGTTTATTTTAATAAATAAAAAAAAGGTTCAATATAAACAATATTTAAGTGTAAAACATATTTTAAACTGTACATTATAGTGTTGTGATGGCTGAATTCACTTGTAGCAGCTTTACAATTTTAAAGATTTAGATTTTTTTATTTATTTAAAGGGGTCCTATTATGCTTTTTCCCTTTTTCAACTTTAGTTGGTCTGTAATGTTGCTGTTTGAGCATAAAAAAGATCTGCAAAGTTACAAACCTCAGAGTCCACTTCAAAAGGAGATTTTTTATTTAACAGAAATCACTTTTCAAAAACTACAACGAACGACTCGTTTGGACTACAACGCATATTTTCCGGGATTTGTGATATCAGAAATATCGACGAATGGGACGAGGTCTGGTTGAGCTGCATTAGAGAAGGCAACAAGTGTTATCACTATGTTGGAGACACGCTAGCTTTTCCAAGACAGACGAGGCCCAGCACACACTGGCCCATCTCACCAATCACAGCACACACTGGCCCAGCTCACCAATCACAGCACACACTGGCCCAGCTAACCAATCACAGCACACACTGGCCCAGCTAACCAATCACAGCACACACTGGCCCAGCTAACCAATCACAGCACACACTGGCCCAGCCAACCAATCACAGCACATTTTGTATTTCAGAAGGCAGGCCTTCATTTGATACAGGAACTATTCGAGCCGTTCATGCCAGACTGGGGAGAGAGGTGTTGTAATAATGTAAAATATGTGAAAAATAATGTGTTTTTCGAACAACCCGAGAGCCTGTTCTAGTACACCCCCAAAACAAAATCAAGACTTGGTAAAAGAGCATAATAGGACCCCTTTAAACAAAATAGTGTAGAGTTGTAACAATGGGATTTTAATATTTAAATGTTATAATATTGCAAACTCCAATTCTTGAAATAACTGATGACTGATTTTGCATATTTAGATGTGATATTCTGATTCAAAAAGTGCACCTACTTGAAATATCAGCATATGCAATGGAATAAAGTTCTAAGTCTGTGAATGTCCCAAATAATTGATTCACCCTTGGAATGAAGCACTGAACTAGAAGTCTTTTGTAGAGACTTAGAAAAGTATGAAATGTGCATGAGCACGGAGCGTTATGCAATGCGACGGAGCCGTTTCATAAGCAGTTGTGTCTCTTTGGTAGGTGTGGACTGGGTGCTGCTGGACGCTTGCTATCTGAGGGCCGACCGAGACGCGAGCGGATGGAGAGACTTCTTCAGTGCGCTGGGAGTGCGAGACCTGCTCATCTTCAGGAAGGAGAAGCGCACCTTCACCGCCTCTGAGCTGGTGAGACGGCTGATGTGTGTGTGTGTGTGTGTGTGTGTGTGTGTGTGTGTGACTGTCAGACTCAAGCATGTCACCGCGAGGAAAACTCCAGATTCCAACATGTGTCATTATGCAACCATGAATCACAGTAAACATTGATCTGATTTTCCATCGCTCAAATATGGCTTTAACTGTGCCTGAACACACACACATCATCTCAGTGCTTAGGTCATATTAAGAAACCACAGTCCACTTTTTACTAGTTTGGTTAAAAGTCTGGACTGTACTGATAATACAATCATTATCTTCATGATTTATACAGATACAATTTATACAATTTGAAATTAAAATGTAATAATTAAATCGTAAAATGTATTAATTTAACATGTAAATAATTAAAATGTAGTAATTAAAATAAAATGTAAAAATTTTAATATTTTGTCTAAATACATTAAAAAAAATAAAACTCTAAAAACTAAAATCAATGTTATAACAATAGCATCACCATATGCACTATATAATTTATAACATTTAAAATTAAGATTTAATTAATACAAATTTTAATGTAAAATTTAAATAATAAAACATTTGGCAATTTAAAGTAAAAATTTTAAAATGTGTAATATTTTGTCTAAATACATAAATAAATAAAACCAGTAAAATCAGTGTTATAAAAATTTTGCACCATAGAATGCAACTTTTTTTAAATTATTTTTTATTACTTTCCTTATTAAAAATGTAATCAATTCAAACATTTAAATGTATTAATTCAAATTAAATTCAAATGTATATTATTTTGCCTAAATGCATTAAAAATAAACCGCTAAAAGCTAAAATAAGTCATTTTAAAAGTTATTAGAAATCAAAATTATGATATACAGTACAAAAAATATATATTTTTTTTTGTGTATTTAGCATTGTATTAACTGTCCTAAAGTGTCAGTATTGTACTGTCCTAACATACTTTGTATTTAGGACAGTAAATGACATTTATTGGCAATTAAAACATTCAAATATTCACACAATATTGGTTAGTTTACAAAATAAAGATTAACTGGAATGAAAAAAAAATTAGTTTAAATTGATGTACTAAAATAAATAAAACTAAATAAACTTAAAACTGAAGCCTAAAACTGTATAGACATTTAAAAAAGTAAATAAACATCAAATAATACTTTAAAATTAAAATGAATACAGAGAATATAAAAATGTGAATGCATTTAACTAGAAAATGCATTAGAAAGATGTGTTGTGTCTTGTATTTGTACTGCAAACATCTTAGGCTCAGAGGTCAGAGTGCAGTATCTGTTAGTAAATCTGCATTGACCGTTCATCCAGACGCTGTGTGTGTGTGTGTGTGTGTGTGTGTGTGTGTCTCAGGCGTCCAGCCCGTGGTCAGTGGAGAGCAAGCCGTGGTCCAGGCCCGCGGATGGACTGTATGTCATCGAAGATCAGCACTGCGTTGAGTTTCATACGCTGGTCACTGCAGATCATCTGACCGCTGACAGCAAACTACAGCAGAGACAAGCACTGATCAGCCTTCTGGACAAGAACTGGGACACTGGGTAAATCAGCACTGTTAATACAAGCTCCATACTAAACTATTCATTTAGTTATACAGACACAGACACATATACTTCTAAGTATTTTTTACACACTACAACTTTTACAAATTATAATACGTGCATATAAAGGCAAAAATCTGTAATATCTACTGATATTTTATATATATTTTTAAATTATCTCTGTTGTCTTCTAATACGTTATAATGCTTTTAATTTAATAATCCTGTTAAATGCAATCTTTAATCAATATAAAAAAATTATACTGTACATTATAATCTTATTACTCCATATATAATATGAAATATTTATAATAAAAATATTTATAATAAATTATTTATTTATTTTTATATTACATACATAAAATAGTTGCACAGTATATCAGTTCAGCACTTAATAAAAAAATCTGTAATATATGCCATGACCATTTTTATATACTCTAGTCTTAATAATTTTATTAAAATATGTATTTATACACACATTTCTGTTTTAATTATTTTTAATTAAATAATAATTTTTATTTATAAAAATGAATTATAATTATTTTGCTGTCTCTTAATACAAATAATTTAATAATACTGTTAAATGTAATCTTTAATAAATGAAAAATATTATTTGTATACTGTACGTTATGATGTTATTATAATGGATAGATATATATATATATATATA